AACGCTACCTCTCTACGTGTAGCTTAGTATACACGTTATTATAAGGCGTGGTTAACGTTAGTCGGTTCTAACGAATTAATTCATTAACGTTAATAGGGTCTAGTCTTATAGTAAGGATAGGTCTAGTATAGTATAAACTAGACCGCGATGGAGTATAATGGACTCCTTCCTTATTATCTAGGTAATCTTCCACAGTTATACGGAATACTATACTAGTTATTAGTACGATAGCCTATAGAGTGTGCTTATTAGTAGAGGTGGTCGTAGAGAGACTATTCTCTTCGTTTAGATTTAGAGAGAGTCTCTTATATAAGGTAGTGCCACGGGTATTATAGCGCGTAGTAGGAGCTATCTCTATAAGCTACCATCGTGCTATATAGAGAGGAATTAAAATATAAAGAGTAAAGACGTGGGATAGTAGTCTAATAGTTTATAGAGAGATATAGGAATATATTTATAGAGTAATCTTACTCTTATACGAGGTTAATTCCTAACGAGTAGGAATCGGTTTATACGGTCCACTTATATAGTGACCTCGCTTAACTTAGCTAACTTAACCTAGCTCTGGCCACTACGTGGCTGCATGGATTAGAATAGTCTATATAGGTCCGTTGTAGTTCCCGTCCTAATAATAAGACTTATCCATAACCTCCGGATAAGGCGAATACCTAAGTAGATTATATAATTTATATAGTCCTTCCTCGCGTAAAGAACTACTTAAATATATATCCCCGGATACCGAAGCGAATATAAGGAGATAGTATATAGCATCCCGTAAGGGAGTACTATCTCCCCGATCCTCTTCCTCTTCTTTATAGTAGACCTCCTTTAGAGAATAGAATATATAGAGGTAGTTAGATACGCGGACGATATATACCTTCTCGCGGTCAATAGTAGTACTAGTAGAATATATATACGACTCGAACGAGACCACGAGAAATACGTCTAGTAGGTAAAGCGCCACGGAGTAAAATTCACACCTAAAAAATACTAGCTTATATACTTTATTAACCGCTATAGAGGATAGACTACTAGAGAGGGGGCACGTTACCCCTAAATCGACGCCTTTATAGAACTACTAGTATAGAGTATACGCGCACTCGGCGTTATAATCGATAATAAGCTAAAATAGGGACTATAGGTAGCACACGCCGTCTCTAGAGCCCTCTAGGTAGAAACTGCTATACGCCGGATTACGGTATCTACGTAGGGAATAGCCCGGGATAAGGCGAGATAGCTATACGTCTCCCTAGTACGCCCGGCCTTTATATACGGATATAAGTACTAGTATATAGCCCTTATATAAGCTTAGCGAGTAAAGCTTAAGTCTATATAAAACTATATACTCCGCCTTATCTCTAGTATATATAAAGCTACTAATATAACGCTCCTCTAACGCGAGATAAACGTAATAAGTATATAGAACTTCTACTAGATATAGAGACTTATATACTTTACTAAATAATAAGTATAAGAACGTAGAGAAGATAGGGTATATACCTTCGCCGTACTACGTATATATATCTACGTATATTACTAGGCCCTCCCTACTATAGAACGAACTTAAGTATAATATAAATACTATATAGAGGCGGACTCGAGCTAGACCGCGTAGAAGGTTTAAAATAATCTAGATGCCGTCCTAAGCTAATAGAGCCCTAAGAAGCTTAGCCGCGTTATACGGTTATAGATCTAGGATAAATAGAGGGAGATACTTAAAGCCTAGTGGGCCTCCTAATAGAATAGATATCTAGAATAGATCCGAGGGCCTTAGAAGGAACTAAGTAAATAGATATATAAAGGGCTAACGAAGGCCTAAGCATCTATACTCCTCTAAGCCTAAATAGGCGCTATAGGTCTTCTATATTATCTCTACTAGAGAGGCGTTCTAGATATATCTCCCTAGTACGAGGACTATAGCTAGAGAGGTATAATACGCCACTACCTCGCGACGTACTCTAGCCTCTATACCCTAAGATAAGCCCTCGTCCGTATAACGAGGACCTCTAATATTACGCGATAGCTTAATAAGTACCCTAAGGACGTTGCCCGATAGATGCTTATATACCTTCCTCTCCCCTAGTTCTAGTAGACCCGCGTATATATACCGGAAGAAGCCCGATATATACTAGAAGAACCCCGGTATACGTCGGAAGAACCCCGGGAGAACCGCGATTATTAGTTAAGGGTAGCCCTTAACTAATAATCTCCGCATCTATACGTGCTATCTAAGGGTAAACTATTATAATATAGGCTATAGGCCTATAGGTAGCCCCTAGGGCTATATATATATAAAGAACGAGAGGATAGATAGAGCGTAGTCATAGATATAAGGGAGTTTTTCCTATTTATAGGTTTCTTCTTATATAGTAGCTTAGACTAGAGGAGGCATGCGCCTATAGAGTGGTACTCTACCTAGTTTACTAATATTATTATTATTATTATAGAATCTAATAGACAAGGCTAGACTAGTATCTTCTTACTGTCTCTATATCTTTCTAGTTCTAGTATAAGTGTGTATTATATAGTAAATAGTATTAGGTAAAGCCAAAGTCTATAATAGCTCCTTCTTTAAGGAGCTACTTTAAGTCATTTATAACTCTATAGTTTTAGACTACTATATACTATCTCTTATAGATTACACTTATTTTATATACACCTTTAGTATACTAATACGTTTCACAAGTTTCCCAAGCTCAACAAGTGTAAGAATTCGATCAGCTGGATTTGGACTAACGCTAGATCTCTAGACTAAGACAATGCTAGAGCGCGGAAGGTACGCGCTGGCATATAGGGTGCCTGTAACGCCCCTTGACGCTCCATGTATACACAATGTTTTAAACGACAGGCAACAACATTCTTCCGGGTGAAATGCCGACGTGGCGAGCCACACGGGTGCGACAAAGCATGGAATGTGTGAACGGTACAGAGACACATATGTCTTGCGGTAGTATTCACTCAAATGTTCTCAAAGTATACTCTGTTCTCTCATTGAAGCACATCCTATTCTCAAAATATCTTCGACAATGTACACCCATACTACAGCAAGAGGGTTCACATCCTCAATGTCAGACATAGGATAGTACAATGTCTTCGCAAGCGGTGTGCAGTCTCTCCTAAGCTAGGACCGCGCTGCGCTAGATGTCTCCGCGTTTCGATTCATCTCTTGGAACACACCAACCTTTCTACCCGACACGCCTCATGGAAGCTCTATCGAGATCCAGGAATATCAGTTGAGCTGGAGCACTATGAGGATGTAACCTATACTACCTATTTTCTCTAAGATAATCATTCACTAACAAAATAGAATGATTTCTGCGAAGAAGTTAAACAGCCTGAAAGGCACTCTGCAACACTCCAGGATCTCAGAACCTCAGAGCAGTACATCGTTACCACAGTCTGGAGTTAGAACTTCCTTGAACTGGCCAACTATACTAGCTCCTAGCTCTTGCACGACTTGGCTTAGAGAACCGAGAGTTCCACGCCAACAAACCTCTATCAAACTCCCTAGCGGCACATTTTCGACTCTCGGAAACCGATTCTCGGCATAGAGTTATCTGGAAAGCCGCGATTCATCTCCAGACGCTGAAAGCTCGTGGTGTGGGTATTTACTAGTTATAATTCCCTATATCGCGCAGCTAAATGCGAAGATATCAGTTTGGCGGCTGATTGGCTGTCGTCGAATACTTTGTAACTTAACCACTCATAACAAGCTCCTGGTTCTTCTCCGTCGTCAACACTGCAGCCCTAAAGGTCGATGATCATGACGTCTCTCTTTTTATAATCATGTTATGACATCTGACATCAGCATGGACTATGCCCTTGCTATGCACATGTGCCATGCCCTCCGCAGCCTGCCGTAGCTAGTACATTTCCCTACTCTAACGGAATCTAGTCTGCTTTATTTCATACTATAGTAAGAAAGCTTTTACCGCGTTTAAAGATAAGGCCCTTATCTACTATAATACTAAGAAGTTATATAATATGTAGACGCAAGCCTAAAGTGTCATGTTTTGGGGGCAAGCTGTGAAGGATTTGGCCCAAGGCCCTGCCATATCTGGGAGAAGGCAAAACCAGTAGAGAAGGCAGGAAACACGTTGTTGTTAGCAGCAGAGAACAGGAAGAATGAGAGGATAGAGAACAAACTACGTCACCGAGCTCGTCAGCCAGGCACCCAAGAGCATCGCGCTTTTCAAGAGATAAACGCAAACGTGAGGCGTTTAGATCGTGATGATCCCCTGCCATCAGGCTATCCTCGTCGGTTACGACGACCTGAGTGAGAATTCAAAACAGAGAGGGCAGAAAGAGGCGAAAAAACGACCGGCGGCATTGATTGCCTCCGTTAAGGAGAGCTTATCCTCAAGCGTTTGCTATACCCGTGGGCAGAAGAGATTTCGAGGTTGACAGGTGAAGTTGCTCTCCTTCTCTAGTGAGACTTATGGCTAATGACTCAGTAGGAAGGACTGTCTATATTGTCGAAGACAAGTCAATACCCCTCCCCACGTCAAGGCATGTCGTTTCGCTGCCCGAGCTCGTACACGTCACAATGGGATGATAAACACTGTGGACTGGCCTTCGAATAGTCCGGATTTGAACAGAATTGAAAGGATATGGGATAAGATGAAGGACTTATTCGAACAGGTGGCAGCTCAGAGTCATACAAATCGATTGCAGAGAGATAATATAAAGTGACAGGTGAAGGACGTGTGGTATAACATACCCGGGCAGATATGGATGCAGAGTGCCGGAGATTTCGTGAAAAGATTTTATGGATAATGCCACTGCTCGGGTATTCTCCGGAGAGGGCAAATTGATCGTGGAAAGACGTGACTCAGAGTTGCAGCTTCCAAGTACACACCTCTCAATGTTTAGAACGTATGTATGCTGTCTATTCGAGTGTGTCCTCTGCGCTGTCTTACTTCTAACTCACTTGCCCGGTACCATCTACAACGAGCCTTCGCCCGCTCATCGCGGCCCGGTCTAACCTCCCACCGACTTCAGTACCGCACCCCGGCTTCCCTGTGCAGGTCTTACACGACCACTATGGCGCTAAACGGCGCCCCACATAACGTTGCGGGTGAAAAGACTGGGCCCGCCACTGGCCCTCTTCCAAGCCTAAGCGACGAGACGAAGGATGCTCTGCTAGGGAACGCCAACACGGATGCAACAGGCCAGTCGGCGCTGCGCCGCGACGGCGGCGAGAAAGACGTGGGCAAGGAAGTTAAGACCGAAAAGGAGCTAGAAAAGGAGCGCAAGAAGGCCGAGAAGGACGCAAAGTTCAAGGCGAAGAAGGCAGCGCAAGCCTCCGGCAGCAGCAAAGATGCCGCAAAAGCTGCGCCCAAGGAGAAGAAGAAAAAGGAAGCGGAGGTCCTGCCAGAGTATGTGGAGGAGACAGAGCTAGGAGAGAAGAAGATTCTCAAGAGCTTGGATGACCCGTTTCACAAGGCGTATATTCCCAAGGTCGTTGAGAGTGCTTGGTCCGAGTGGTGGGAGAAGGAGGGCTTCTTCAAGCCTGAGCTTGTCGATGGCAAGGTCAAGCCGGCAGGCAGCTTTGTACTGCCCATACCACCTCCCAATATCACCGGGAAGCTTCACTGGTGAATACACCCTGCATGCGTTCTTGTCCATTCTAATTCTGCATCAGTGGACACGCGCTCGCCACTGCCCTTCAGGACCTCCTTGCTCGTTGGTATAGGATGAGAGGCTTCACCACACTACATCTTCCCGGATCCGATCATGCGAGTATCTCGACACAAAGCGTGGTGGAGAACATGTTGTGGCGAACACAAAAGTTGACGCGGATGGACCTTGGCCGCCCCAAGTTTCTCGAGGTGACTATGGACTGGAAGGAGGAATATCAAGCCAGCATTCACCGCGTGCTGAAGCGGATGGGCGGCAGCTTTGACTGGACCCGCGTCGCCTTTACCATGGACCAGAATCTTTCCGAAGCTGTTACCGAAACATTCGTCCGGATGCATGAAGAGGGCCTCATTTACCGAGCAAACCGCCTCGTGAATTGGTGTACTAAGCTAAACACTACGTTATCAAATCTCGAGGTTGATAATAAAGAGCTCAGCGGTCGGACGCTCCTAGAAGTGCCAGGTTACGAACGTAAAGTGGAATTTGGGGTGCTCACTCTCTTTAAGTACCCGATTGAGGGGACGGATGAGTTCATCGTCGTTGCGACTACGCGTCCAGAGACGATGCTTGGAGATACTGCTATTGCTGTACATCCCAACGACGAGAGGCACAAGCACCTTCTTGGAAAGAAAGTTAAACATCCCTTCGTTGACCGCCTGCTGCCGATCATTGGTGACGACTACGTTGACCCTGAGTTCGGTACCGGTGCTGTTAAGATCACGCCTGCCCACGACCCTAACGATTTTGCCATCGGAATGCGACACAACCTCGAGTTCATTAATATCCTTAATGACGATGGCACCATGAACGACAATACTGGCAAGTTCTCTGGCCAGAAGCGATTCGATGCTCGATATACTGTTGTCGATGAGTTGACGAAGCAGAATCTTTTTGTCGAGAAGAAGGATAACCCGATGAAAGTGCCTCTTTGTAGCAAGAGCAAGGATATCGTTGAACCCCTCATGAAGCCACAGTGGTGGATGAAGATGAAAGGGCTGGCCGAGCCCGCCATCAAGGTTGTGCGTGATAGGCAGGTTGTCATCAGCCCGCCGCAAATGGAAAAGATTTACTATCATTGGATGGAGAACAGTAAGTGTCGTTGTTCGCTCTACATAGGGGTTGTTCACTAATAATCCTAATAGTCAACGACTGGTGCATCTCTCGTCAGCTCTGGTGGGGTCACCAAATCCCAGCCTACTTCGTCAAAATTGAGGGCGAGGAAGGCGACCAGAGCGACAATGAGCAGTGGGTCATCGGACGAACAGAAGAGGAGGCACGAGAGAAAGCCGAGGCCAAGTTCCAGGGTAAGAAATACACACTAGAGCGGGACGAGGATGTGCTGGACACCTGGTTTAGCTCTGGCCTGTGGCCTTTCAGCACGCTTGGCTGGCCGAAGAAGACACTCGACATGGACACTCTCTTCCCCACATCCTTTCTGGAGACCGGCTGGGATATTCTCTTCTTCTGGGTTGCTAGGATGATTATGTTCTCGCTGCATCTGACTGGCAAGATCCCATTCTCGGAGGTTTACTGCCACTCGCTTATCCGAGATAGCGAAGGCCGTAAGATGAGCAAGTCTCTCGGGAACGTGATTGACCCTGTGGACATTATGGAGGGTGTAACCCTGGCGGAGCTTAACCAGAAGCTGCGCGTTGGCAACCTGGACCCTAAGGAGCTGAAGATGGCCGAAAAGTATCAGCTAAAGTCCTTTCCCCACGGTATTCCAGAGTGCGGTGCTGATGCTCTGCGTATGGCTCTTGTTGGCTACACCACAGGAGGAGGTGACATCGCCTTCGATGTTTCTGTTATTCATGGATACCGCCGTTTCTGCAACAAAATTTATCAGGCGACCAAATACGTCCTCGGTCGACTTGAGGATTTCACACCCCGCGCCACTATCACGAAATCCGGGAAGGAGTCATTGCCTGAGCGATGGGTCCTGCACAAGCTATCAATGGCCTCGAAGCAGATCAACGATCGGCTGGAGAAGCGGGAGTTCTCGAACTCCACACAGGTTGCGTACAGGTATTTTTACGAGTCCTTGTGTGATACCTACATCGAGAATTCCAAGGCGATTTTCGATCAAGAGGGCAACGAAGAGGAGAAGGAGAGCGCTAAGCAGACTCTGTACACTGCGATTGAAGGTGGCCTGCTCATGATTCATCCTTTCATGCCGTTCTTGACCGAGGAGCTCTGGCAGCGGCTACCGAGACGCGAGGGCGATAATACCAAGTCGATCACTATCGCTTCGTATCCGCAATACATGGAGGAGTTTGACGACGAAGGGGCGGAGGCCGAGTGTGAGTTTCGATATTTACCGATTTATTCTTCGTTGTAGCCTTGTTAACAAATTCGCATAGATGAATTGCTCGTGGGCTGCTCAAAGGCGCTTCGCTCCCTGACTGCTGAATACGCGATCAAAGAGTCGGCAACGACGTACATCCAACCTCTCGACAACGTAACCCACCGTGTCCTCACATCCCCGACTTCCCTCCCATCCCTTCACGCTCTGTCCGGGAAAACAATCTCCAAGATATCCATTCTCTGCCCATCCGATGATGCTCCAACTAGCTGCGCCGTCTACACCATTGGTGCATCAGCGACCGCCTTCCTCGATGTCGAGGGTCGAGTGGAGGTTGAGAAAGAGATTGCGAAAGCCAAAGACAGGCTGAAGAAGGCGACTGAGGTCGCGGAGAAGCAGAAAAAGATGATGCAGGCAGGTGACTGGAAGAATAAGGCCAGCGAGGCCGTCCAGGAGATGGAAAGAGAGAAATTGAAGGCTGCCGAGGCGGAACAGAGGAACTGGGAGATGAGTATTGATCAATTCCAGCGGATGAGTCTCGGGTGAGGGAGAACTGCGGTGGTGCCCAGGTTGAGATTGATGGGGCGGGTTGGATGAGGTTTCCACTCAGGCAGGGTTTGCGATGGCATGTTTCCTACGCGTCCTTCAAAAAGGTAGATAGATTGATAGATTGAAGACTCATGTCCTCATGCTGAATACTGACTGACAACATGGAGCGTAAGCGTCACTATAGCGCCTATGTTCTAGTGAAAAGCATTATGGCAGGCATGCTTAACTGAAGTAATTTTCAAACACCGACAAAAGAGGAATTGCAGTCCGCCGAGGGGGGCCAATACGGAAGATAGACACGCGTTGAAAAATCATTCATTCCATTTTGTATCCAAAGCTTTGTAACCCTTCTAATATCATGCTTAATTCTCCTTGGAGAATAACATTCTATTTATGATTCATAGACTATCTTATTTACCTCTATATAAATAACCCAGCTAGACCCCCCCCCCCCCCCCCAAAAAAAAAAAAAAAAAAAAAAAAAACAAGGACTTGCACTCAAGAATTCACAGAGAAGAAGTGTGCGGAAAAAAGCCAAAAAGTAATCTCCTCGACGGGGAATCGAACCCCGGTCTCCCGCGCTTGACACCGATCACTCGGAATTGACAAGCGGAAATCATAACCACTAGACCATCGGGGATTGAACAGGCTATGCCTGGGATGGATGTCTGCTTCCAACTTTTTGCAATTATAAAAGGGTATCAAATAAAATATTCCATTTCCTTTTATCTATGCGCTATGTATACGCATCATATGCTCTTGGTAGGTCGGTCCTTTACCGCTCGCATAATAATACATAACTAAGCCACACCTAAATTCCGTATAATAAATTAGGACCTTCCGAAAATAAAATTAGCTAAAACACTAAGTAAGGACTAATAATACAATTTCTATAAAATAGACAAGGACTTAGAAATCTATAAGTCTTGAATCTTATCTATTTGAATAATTTTATTAGATATATATATCCCTTTTATATACCATACATAATCCAGTTGGTGTATTACTTGTTATGACTCTAGCCCTCTCTCTAGGGTTTTTAAACGATTGGGGGGGAAGAAAAACTGGCTGAGAAGGGTATGTATGTATATGCTATGCTATCCAGCCAGCTATGGATGTGTGGGCGGGCTGCAACCGAGACCTACGATAAACGTCGCAGAGGTTTCTCAGAATAGGACTGATCGCATTTATTACTTTTTCTCAATTGTGTACCCGTGCAGCAGCTATCGCAATATTTTTCTTAAAAAATACATTGTTATGTATATGTATGTATGTATACACCTACCAAGTACCAAGACAGCCCGGAACGGGTGTCGAGTAAGTATCTCGAGATCGCCCTGGTGGTGCGATGCAACACACATACACACACACACACGGCATGCGCACACAGATATATATACACATCATATTATACATTATGTATATCGCACATCAATGTCGATAACACCCACAATAAGACAGAATTTCTCACACAGACCCTTTTTCTATTCTTCTTCTTCTTCTTCCGTCTCGAACAATATATCCAGAAAAACAACGCCTGATGTATGTAATGTAATGTAATGTAACGGCTATAATACAGCGCAGCCCACATACTTCAATTCCAATTCCAACACAGCCCAACTCAAAACACCTCAATCATCCCACCGCCCCTTCCCCTCCTTCTTCCCCTCCTCCACTCCCACATCCTTCTTCCCCTCTCCCTCCGCACCAGCACCAGCACCAGCCCCAGCCCCAGCCCCGCCCTTCCTGGCATCCGCCCTCAACCCAACCGTATCCTCAATCCGATCCCACCACCTCCCCATACCCCACCCCTCCCTCCGCCCGCCCTCCGCGCCCGCAAACCCCTTCTCCCCCTGCTCCCAGACATCCCTCTCGACCTTCCGACGCGCACTCCACGCCTTCGCAAACCGCCAGGCCTCCGTATCCGCCAGACTCCAGGCCTCGAGCACGTCCCTGACGCGGACGACCTCGTGGACGGAACTACGCACGACGTCGCGGGCCTTGCTCAGGAGGGCGTGCTCGGCCTGGGCTTCCGCGTCGGAGAGCGGGGCGAAGTCGCCCTTGGGTGCAGCGGGCCGGTCGCGGTCAAAGGGGGGGAAGTCCGGGACTTTGAAGCCGAAGAGCCAGTCGAGGTCGGCGGCGCGTTCGCGCTCGGCGGTGAGCCAGAGGGAGTGGTGGCGGCCGTGGATGCCGGCGACGGCTTCCTTGAAGCGGACGACGCGGGCTTCGGCGCTGGTTTTGGCGGGGAGGAGGTCGGCGGTTACTTCTTCGAGCCAGAGGTCGTGGGTCTTGAAGTCGCGGCGGACGGTCTGGGCGGTGATGGCGTCTTGTTGGTAGTGGAGGGAGGCGAGGGTGTAGGGGTGCGGGACGGTGCCGATGGTGAATAGGGTGGTTTTGTTTTGGTAGTGGCTGTGGTAGGCGATTGTGTTGCCTGAGCCGGTGCAGGGAGTGCATTTTCGATGGTTTGGTGGGCATGAGGTCGGGAGTGGGTTGAGGGGGCATTGCGTGAGATTGCGGGCGATGTCGAGCGCGTTCTCGACAAGTGCAGAGGTGTGTTGTGGTAGAGGCTTGAGGATGGCGATGCCGGAGGAGAAGCTGTTTTGCCAGGTGGTATGAAGATGCGCATTGATCAAGGTTGCAAGCTTATTCAATCCATTCGCCTTATCATCCTTTCGGAGGTCTTCGAAAACGGATTTGTATTTGGACTCGAGGACGGTCCCGTCGTAATAGGCAATGGCACCTCCGGACTTTTCGACATTGATTTCATCCTTGGGAAGCACATCCATGATAGTCTTCGCAGTCTTAAAGTCGGCCTTGCGGATGATGGTCTCGATTGTCTTCCTGATCGTTTCCCGCTCGCCATAGAAGATTGCGCTCTGCATCTTGTCGAGACTGGTGATTTTGGTCAAGAACTCGCCCCGTCGCAAAGACACCAGTTCTGGGTGGTCATATGCGGCCATTGGTAGTGCTAGCCAGTTTGACAGGATCCCGGTGCCCATTGTAGCCCACGCCAACCATTTCGCAATCTCGACCTCCAGCTCCGGCTGTATCCCCATACGCTGCATCGCGCCGTACAAGGGATTCTGCATGGCTTCCCCACGGCCTAGGACCACCGGCTTGAAGCCCTGCGCCCACCATGCTCTGCGCCATATCAGCAGCAGATCGTTCTCTGCTCTTAGCGTTTCCTCGCTCTTCTTCGTGTCTTCGTCGTAGAACGTGTATACAATCGGCCGGTCATCGAGAGGAGGCAGTAACGCGCGGTTCTCATCCAGAGTGATCGTAGACGAGAATGGACTGTGCCACTTCCAATCGCTGAACCAAGAAGAGTCTCCCCTTGTGCTGTTCGCCTGAACTGGCGGAGCCTTATGTGCGATCGGTGCGAAAGGGTTTAATTTGTTCGGAATGCTCGGATGCTTGAGGTCTTCCACAGTCGGTATACTGTTGCGATTTGGCGTGCCAAAGAGTATGACATAGGTGATTATGAACGCGATGAAGCCGAACAGGATCTGGAAGCGTCGAGGGAGCGATCGGAGACCTCGCGGATGGCCTGTGGGTGTCGTTCGAGGATACATGGCGGAGAGCAAATGATAGACACCGCGAGGCGCCATAGAAGTCTATTGCAGCATCGAGTTGTTCACGATATCAACCAGGACCGGAGAAGTGTCGGCGTAGCTGACTGGCAAACGTGGTGACTGTGTTCGTTCCAGTGAGCTCCTGTGGAGGAGCATAAAGTAGTCGAGACTACGCCTGGGCGGCAGCTAAGAAAAAAAGGATTGGGTCGGGCGAGCCCGGGGGCTGAAATAAACGTGACTGCGCACCCGGACCTGTCCAAAGAAGCCACAGTTGCTCTGATCGATATTGGATGCTCGGCTTTGCATTCATGATGCATTATTGTGGTACATCGAAATGGGGATTGGGTGGTTGAACATCCTATTGGGGTTTAGGGAGCCTGGGCTCTTAACAGGGATCCAGGCACAGTGTATCAGATTGACATCTAACATACCGAGGTCTCATTAACATCGCAAAGCATATAAGATAAATAGTACATTGAAAGTAAGTATCGCTAGTTTCATGATCGTGCTGAATCAAATATGTGATGCCGGGTATCTACGAAAGTGAATAATGCTCCTGTAGCACGCCAATCGTCATTCGATCATAATTCGTTACTTGCACCAGACAATGTTTCATGCATTCGTCGTAAAGGCGCAGTGAGGCATGCAATTGGAAACATACCACCATATTCCGGTCATAAGTCGTAGTAGTTAATAAGCGTATAAAATGGAGACGATAATCGAGTTTGGTTGATGGTCAAAGTCTTGATCGCGGTCCTACACGAGACGCTCGTAGTCCAGGATCCCAGCGGCATCCTGCAAAGCACCCCAGAATGCTGACCAACGTGTTATAACAGGGCCGTCAGACTCAGCATCGCTTTCAATCGGAACGGGAACTGTCGGCATGTCGATGGGCTGCGGATCCTCGATCTGAGATAAGGTAGACATGTTACCCCGTGTCCGCGAGTCCAGTTGAGCCTCTAGCTGCTGGTTGCGAGTTTCAAGCTTGATTATATGGTTTCGAAGCGACGCACTTTCCTCCTTTTGAGCATTGATGCGCTTGAGGGCACTTGAGTTGTTGTGCTAGGAGAAAGTTATTAGTCCATGTGTCGCAGTATCAACATTGATGCGCCCTTACCTTGACTTCTTCGAGGCGTTGCGACAGCTTCAGATTCATTTCATGAATATCCCCTATATGGTCCTCCAATTCCATCTCTCTGTGCTTGGCTTCGTCCAACAATCTGTTCATGAAGTGCATGTGCTCTTCAACATTTTGAGCGATGCGATCCAGTTGTCCATCCACAGGATTCTCCAGTAGAGGTCTAGGACTGCCCTCAGATTGATAGTGTGTTGCGACCTTGATATCGTCATCATCCAAGAAAAGACCAGAGTCTTCCAGGTGAAGTCGGCTTTGCGGGTTCGGGGCTGACAGGATAGACTCGACTACTTCAAGTCTCGCATTGAGAGCTCGGGTGAGGGGCGCCGAGTGATCTGTCTTACTTATCATGTCACTGATCGTCGTTATGCGTCGGACCAAGTCCTTCTGGGAAGCCGAAGACGATGAGTCGCATGAGCCGTAGTCGCTGAATGGGGAATCTGGTGAGACTCTTTGCCGCGAAGCAGTTGAGGGGGGAGTAAGCGGGGCTGCCATAGCAGATCGATCAGTATACAATGTCTCGAAGGTAGAAGTATAAATTGTGGTCAGTGAGTAAGGGCGAAAGAAAGAGAGAGAGAGAGAGAGAGAGAGAGAGTTGCAAGAGTGGACTCGGAGATTAGAAGGTGGGGAACTGGGAAGGTGGCATCTCGTGAACAGATGCACGGCCAGTAGAAGCAACAGCAGGCCGTTTGCAGTTGGACAAACGGTGAACAGACGAGTTGGAGGTGAAGTGCGACTCGCAAACGGCCGAAGTGACAGGACGCCGTCGCATGTCAGATGGGATTGGCACTGAACAATAGAAGAAGGGCGTCAGAGGTGGCCGGGGTGGCTGGTATTGACGGTAGTGGTGGTGGTGGTGCTGTTGCTGCCTTACTGACACCTTGTAAGGCTCCAGGCTGCTCATGGCGGGGTTACAAGGGTAGATGGAACGTTTGTACTGTTGTATGCTGTATGCGACGACGGAGCTCTTGCAGCTGTTGGAACCTATAGCCACTAGCGATATCGCTGTTTCGAATATCTGCTGATGTAAATGCAAGCTCCTGATGCCAATTCCATCTTCTCGATCGCCGAGTATGACGCACAGATGCTTCTAAACATCGGTGACTCTTCTGAGAGTGGGGACAAGACCGATTAGATTTCATACTTTGCGACAACATCTCGAATTCTATACAGACGACGCACAATGGCCGGCCAGGTTCGTACTGATTGAGATGAGTCATTGTATGTCTTTCGCTGACTTGTGCTGGCTACAGTTAGGAATCCAGCCGTCGCTTGAGACTGTCCAGCATCTTCTTGACGATGTTTCGAAACTGCCCAACCCACCAAACCTTGTCCCTCTGCTCGCAACAATCTCTGCCGAATTCTTGACGCCGTCGTCGATATACTTGAAGATCTCCAAAAAGTTAGTCGTGGAGAGCCATAGTAATCATACATGATGACTAATTCCAAGTAAGCTCTGAGCTGTCTTTCTTGTTTGAAAGTGCGGCGACAACAGAGACAATTGGACGATATAGCTTTGCTGGCGCAAGTAAGTCATGATTGCGAGTTTGACGGGGGAAGCTGTTTAACCGTCAGTAGATCCGCGCGCAGTGCTCAAGACAGGCCCTGGTCATGGTCCAGAAGCAGATCCAATGCCATTGCTGGCAGAAGAGTTATCAAAGAGCAGGGTCGCGTCTGTGCCTGAACTGGACCTCCCTCCGCTGACAGGAGGTGCGATCGGGTATGTAGGATATGATTGCGTCAAATATTTCGAGCCGAAGACGAAGAGACCGATGAAGGACATGTTGAAAGTCCCAGAGAGTTTGTTCATGCTCTTCGATACGGTGGTAGCATTCGACCACTTTTTCCAGGTGGTCAAGGTCATCACCTACATTCAAGTACCGCAAGATACAAGTCAGTTGGATGAAGCATATCAGGAAGCCAAGGCAACGCTCCTTCGTACAGTGAGAACAGTACAGAAACTGGACATTCCTGTGCCGAAGCAGACACCCATCCAGACCGGGCAAGAATATACGTCAAATATCGGGCAGGCAGGCTACGAAGGCCATGTGCACAAACTCAAGGAGCACATCTGCAAGGGCGACATCATCCAGGCTGTACCTTCACAGCGGTTTGCACGACCAACGTCACTGCACCCATTCAACATCTATCGGCACCTGCGGAATGTCAATCCGTCACCGTACCTGTTCTACTTGGAGTGTGTGGATTTCCAGATCGTGGGCGCTAGTCCGGAATTGCTGGTCAAGGCTGAAAACGGAAGGATCATCACACATCCTATAGCGGGAACGGTGAAGCGCGGCAAAACAAGGGAAGAGGACGAAGCGTTGGCAGAGGAGCTCAGTAGTTCATTGAAGGACCGAGCGGAGCATGTCATGCTTGTCGATCTTGCGCGGAACGACGTCAATCGAGTCTGCGACCCGCTGTCAACACGGGTAGACCGATTGATGGTTGTGCAAAGATTTTCGCATGTGCAGCACCTCGTATCGGAGGTGTCTGGCATACTGCGAGCGGACAAGACACGGTTCGACGCATTCAGATCCATCTTCCCGGCAGGCACCGTGAGCGGTGCACCAAAAGTTCGTGCAATGCAACTGATTGCAGAGCTGGAGGGCGAGAAGCGCGGCGTGTACGCAGGCGCGGTAGGATACTTTGGATACAACAGGATTGAGGCAGATGGAGCGGAGGTAGAAGGGGCCATGGACACGTGCATTGCGTTGCGGACGATGGTGATCAAGCAGGGCGTAGCGTATCTACAGGCGGGCGGCGGGATCGTGTTTGACTCTGATCCGTACGACGAGTATGTGGAGACGCTGAACAAGCTCGGAGCGAACATGCAGTGCATCACATCGGCCGAAGAGAAGCACCGGCATGAAGCTGAAGAGCTCGAGCTCGCAGCGTCAACAACATGATGACTAGTTGCGATGATGTTCACGATGGAAAGCAAGTTTTTTGTTTCGAGGTCATAGCTTGTAATTAGCTGAAGTAGCGGATGGATGAATCGACGAGCGGATCTCCATAGTACTACTACTGTAGTAGTAGCTCAATTAGAATATTTAGTCGATGCGCCACAGCGATAGTGGTGCAGCAGTCCTTCTTTGGGACCCAACCAACGGATGGAGTTTGGGAAGAAGCTTTTAGCAAGTGAGCGGATGATAATTATGATTACATAGATGGAGCCAAACAAACGGACAGGCACAGGCACAGGCACAGGCACGACGGATAAGAGAGGAGTCGAGATTGATGCTTAATTTCCGATCGGAGTGTGTGTGGTCCCCCCCCTCGCCTGTCTGGATCGCACCGTCGTAGTAGTGGTACATAATAGATGCGGGAAAAGCCAGATTATTCCGTACTCGCACAATTAAGTGGTGCGCATATGAATGATAAACGGAACTAGTTATCGATAGGGGGTGCAAGCAGGCGGTGAATTGCTGCAACGTGGAACCGACATCGTCCAATGCAGTGATGGATGGATGGATGGATGGATGGGCGAGATGCAGCGAACTACTTCTTGGAGTGGAGCAGTCGACGTGGCTGGTGGTGGCTGGTGAGAAGAGTGACTGGTAGCTGACGACGACGGTTAGTTAGCTATACAATGAGGAACGGAAGCAATAATAGTGGCGGTGTGGCGCTAGACCCGTAGCGCGCCGCTGTCAAGATTCGAAGCAATCTCGATATTCCAAGTTTCTTTTACCTTTGTTTGATATCATCATCAGCTTCGAGTTCCTGTTTTCTCGCTGGATTGGAAGGGAAAAGTTGGCATTAGCAGGAAAAGCATGACGCAATTGACTGGTAAGTAACTACTGGGACCTGGTCTGCCCCCGAATCAGCATCTGGGCCGTTCGCACGCACCCACGAACGACGACACAATGGTCGTCCGCGCAACAAGGGCGGTCCCTTGCTCTCTCAGTCTCCTCCTCTCAGTGCTGGCTGCTGCTGCTGGTGCCACGACGGCTTTGGCTGATAGTTAACCGTGGGAGTGGGAGTGACGGTGTGTAATGTTGTGTGCGTGTGAGTCGAACTAGTGAACTATAGTCTTGTCACCCAATCTTGCTTTTTCTACCTGTCTATGCATTCTCTTGTTTAAAGTTGGTAGACGTTGCACTAGCCAATCAGCTAAGAGAGAGAGAGCTCTTGAAGACTAACTACTAACTAGCCACCACCGCACAGTTGCTGGCCCAGCCTCCCTTTTCGCGTACCTGTGCTAGCCGTTATGGGACGTGATCTGAGGCTTCTCATTGGTGGAGCGTGACAGGGTGTCTGCCGCCAAGAGTGAGCAAAGACCGTCGTCAGCTCGACTCAAAAGATGCGCAACTTTTGCATCACATACTCTTCTAGCTTCATCCTCTTCCCTTTCCAGCTTCGCCCCTTTTGCTAATAATCTGTCTAGATGCAGACAGACTGCTGCACTTATTGCGGACAATCTGGACGAATTGACTCGCTGTGACCCACTTGTGCGTGCCTCTGATAGCTGACTGGTGCATCGTCTGGACTAGAATCACGGTCGTTGTTCATAACAAATGATTCGCAATCCATATCTATCCAAACTCTTGGTAATTATTACTCTCACACTAGCTGTACCCCAGCCGCAACCTGGCAAGTCGCGTGAATCGAGCCGGACATGGATGGTCGTTGCCCCACAACAATCCTGTGTAATGTGTAATGTGTAGTGTGTAGTGTGTAGTGTGTGATGCTGTGAAGTCACGTCCCGCCGCGCATCAAGCAAGCCATCAAAACTTGCTTCCGGAAAGCCTGAACCTTTGCACTAGCGCCTTCCTCCCTGGCTTCATAAATTTCGTTCCGTCTCTATCACCCTCCGCCCATTTCTTCTCCCTTCCTCCTCTTCTTCTTCTTCTTCTTCTCCACCAACAAACATCTTCAAGCCTTTCACTGATCAGCTTGCTGTCTACGAGCTTTACCCGTCGCAAAGCATCTTCTACAGCTACAACTCCATACAGCTCCTACCAGCAAGCCTTTTCATCAACCCATCATCCACAATGAAGTACTCAATCGCCCTTCTCGCTGCCGTCAGCGCTGCTGTCGCTCAGGACACCAGTGCTCTTCCAGGCTGCGGTGTAAGTCTTTGACCACCTCTGAAGAGCCTTCGTGCTCCTCCATTTCACTAGAATCATTGACTGACGCTTCCTGAAGCAAACCTGTATCGGCAACATGGTCAACATTGCTATCTCTCAGTTCGGCTGTGCCTCTGGCGACCTCAACTGCTACTGCAGCAAGATCGACTTTGGCTACGGCGTCCGTGACTGCTCTCTCGAGTCCTGTGGCTCTGACTCGGTCGCTCAGCAAGTCATCGCCTACGGAACAAACTATTGCTCCCGTAAGTGCCTCACTCCGACAATCTTTTCTTCCGAACGTCACACTAACTTATCTTCCACAGAGGTCCTTGCTTCTGCAGGTGACGGCGCTGCCTCCATCACTCTCCCCGGTCTCAGTGTCCTCTCTTCGGCTGCTCAACAGACTGGTGGTGAAGGTAGCCCTGCAAGCACCCCGGTCACCACCTCACCTCTCGAGACCACCATCACCTCTGACGGCCAGACAATCGTTCAAACCACTGGTCTCGTCACCCTCTACGGTGCTGTTGGTGGTGCGCAGACCACTGGCACTGACGTCTCTGGTGCTCTCTCGTCGGCCCTGAGCGAGGCCACTGGTGCTGTCTCTTCTGCTCTGAGCGATGCTTCTGGTGCCGTCTCCTCGGTCTTGAGCGATGCCTCTGGTGCCGTTTCTTCTGCCCTCAGCGATGCCTCCTCAATTGCCAACTCGGCTACTGGTGGTGCTCCAACCGACAGCCAAGGTGCTGGCCCAATGATCACCGCTGCCCCCGTTCTCGCTGGCGCTGGTCTTGCTGCTATGCTCTTCATCTAAGCCTCTTCCCCATTACATTGGATAGAGGCGTTCACTATCTCTTTATTGAGTAGTCATCGTCGATGAAGCAAAATCTCTAATTTCAACTTTTCTTTCAATCGTTACGAATGGCATGATATGGCGGACTTTGCATCACCTTGTCGCGCCAGAGTATTAATGGAGCTCACGATCAGCGATGGAGCTTAGCATGTAATGACACCAGCAATCGGAAGATACCCACTTCAATGGACGGAAGCAAAAAATCGGAAGGATGGGCGATTAGGTAGACATACATTAATGTTTATGATTAACGTAAACCTCAATATCACCAAGGTATTACGATGACTTGTGCGCTGTGTTCACGTGACTGTGTCTTGCACCTGTGACACTGCTGTGTGAGTACAGTGCATCTTGTTGACTTGGTTGCTGGCTCACTATTGACGTTACGTACCACGTAGTAAGTGGCAAACGAGAATTACGCTGGATCTACCCGTCTGTTTTTGTATATCACCATGTTTCAGGTGACAGATCACCTTGCCAGGATTATTCTTTGCATGGAACATCAGTCTGTTACATGGGCAACAATAGCCTTGGTTGGGCAAATCATCTTTTCTCGCTAATTCAGTATATAGTATATACTATCACAATCTCAATACGTGTCTATTAATACTCACTCATAAAGAGTTTGTTTCATAATATGCTTTCAAGGTTGCGCCGCGAAGTCTGCCTGGGTATCTGATTGGTCGCTCTGGATCCATACGGCAACGGCCGTCGTCTAGCAAGATGCGGCCGGACTATATGTCCTTCTGCCAGGTAACTGTATAATTATGGCGCTATCAGCTGGTCCACGTATAACCTTCAGAACACAACTGCACTCCTGGACGCCGAATAGACTCTATAATCTCTCGGTTCCGCTTCGACTGACTGGACGACGACGACGACGACTAAATCAGCCATGGACGGCCGGCTTCGCACGCAGGATATCCATCCAGGCCCGTACCTTCCCAACCGATGGTTTTACCGCCCTTCCGAAGCACGAAAGGTTCGAGGAGGAGAGGCTGGTGGGCTATAAGGCTGAGAAGTTCTATCCCGTCCGCTTAGGCGACGTCTTCAAGTCGCGCTATCAGGTCGTTGCAAAGCTGGGCTTTGGCGCCTATTCGACCGTTTGGCTGTGCCGGGATCTGGAGTGAGTTGAGACTTTTTTGGGGGGCAATTGCATCATGTTGACGCTGTTCTAAGCGAGGACGTCCTGTGTACTCTCAAGGTCTGCGTCGTTGGGCGTGGCGACGTGCCGGAATTGGCCGTGTCTCACCACATCAAGTCCATCGACACGCACCATCCGGGCAAGGGGAGGGTGCGTGTATCGCTGGACGACTTCCGCATCAGCAGCCCGCGTGGATCTCACCAATGTCTGGTTTTCCCGACGCTGGGGTGGACGCTGAGCGATTTGCGCGATCTGTTTGCGGAGAGAGCGCTGGAGAAGACGCTCTTGCAGAAATACATGTATGTCGTTGTTACGGGACTGGACCTTTTGCATCAGGCGGGGGTTGTGCATACAGGTTTGTTACGCCTCGGGGGTCTGGGTGTATTGCTGTGTGTGTGTTGGCTAAGAAGTGATAATTACTACCAGACCTTTCGCCCAACAATATCATGACCGGGACTAACGATATCGCGGTCTCGAAGGTCGAGCAAGCTGAATTAGACGAACCGTCGCCGCGCAAAGTCCTCGAGGATCGCACCATTCACCTTTCTTACTCGATGCCGACAACCTACGACGCGCCTTTCATCATCGATTTTGGCGCTGCCCGCCTAGGCGAGCCCGGGCAGAAGCACTCTGGCGACGTCATGCCAGCGCAGTACCGCGCGCCCGAGATCATCGCCGGCATGGAGTGGGATTCAAAGATCGACATCTGGTCTGTCGTGGTCACGGTACGTATCACAACAGCGAGCAAGATTTCACTGCTGTGCGTGTGGCTCTCTGACTAGCTTCTGACAGATTTGGAGCCTGTTCGAACGAGCTAATCTCTTCTCTGCCGTCAGAGATGGGCGTCTGGACGATGAGCTCCACTTTGCTGAGATGGTCTCGCTCATGGGACCGCCGCCGAAGGAGTTTCTGCAGCGGAGCGATAAGTGCCGGCAGTACTGGAATGCGGAGGGTGAGGAGTCGCTCTTTCTTTCTTTTTCTGGCGTTTGTCGTCCCTGTTAACGAGTAAAGGCGACTGGATTGCGCAGACACCGATCCCCGATCAGACACTTGAGTCGCGAGAGACGCGGCTGGAGGGCGAAGATAGAGAATTGCTCCTTGCCCTTGCGCGGAAGGTTCTGCGCTGGCTTCCGGAGGAGAGACCGTCTGCGGAGGATCTTTATGGGGATGGCTTCCTTACTCAGTTTATGTCGGAGCATCGGCCTGTTGATTCGTGAATAGCAAGGGGTTTGTGTGTGCTAGGGGCAGATAGCTCTTGGGGTGTATGATGTACATGCGCTTTTGTGAGCTGGCAGGTTTTATTCTTGACCTTGAGGGACTTTAGTTGTAGACTAAGTAGTCTGTGATTGTGTATTTATAATATTACTAGTGCTAGATACCACCGCTCATACTGGGAGAGCTGACGCTCAGGATGAAACCTCGACATCAAAACGAAAGGCAGATGATGAACACACACTTCTTGAGTCAATACGGTCACATAAAAAATCTGTACCAGAGCGGAAATATAATAGACGGATTCAGCAGACGCAGCACTAGAAGGTGAAAATGTCAGGAGGAACAACTATCGGACCTGGCCATCGCTCTTTCTATTATGATGACGGGCACAACACTGAGTTTAGAGAATCTGTTGGAGAAGTGCAGGAGCTGTGTATGTGTAGTGCTGTACACCACTTATACATTGCACCTACTCTATGACTCGGGCTCACCTAGATGGCCATTTCTCTACAAAGAATGGAGTAGGAATAAGCTCCTCTTTCCACTCTCCCATGATTATTACAACACTTCACCCGATCTATACCTGCTCTGCTCGTATATCCATTCACAAAACACATTCCAAAGAACCACCCTACCTCCGAAACCAATTGAACGGTCATCTTGCCATCATATATTCCATGGACGGACTTACTCTTAGCATCGCTATCTGAAGAACGTCGTCTGCTGCCACGGAACGACCATGTCCGACCAGGCTCACGAGCCTGATCGCACGGATTCCGTGAACCCTCGTACAGACCTCAAGGAGCTTCAAGAGAATGTCCTCCCAACTTCACCATCGACGCCCCCGGCGCAAATAAGCATAGACTACCCCGAAATCTCACCACGCTCAATCTCATCGCTCGGCTCGTTCATCGAGTCTGGAATCGCAAACGCCATCACCATAAGTCGTGTACGGCCATCTGAAATACAACACCGTGACAAAGAACATGATCGCCGCGTCACTGAGACATCGTTGTCTTGGCTTCACAATCTCGATGCCGATGACATGGACCTACTACCTGCGTTGCCAGCTTCGAATAGTAGCAGCCCACGCTCAAGTATAGCGAAGCATACACCGCTTCCCGATTCTCCAGGTAGCAGCACCGAGTCTGTTTGGGGATCCCCTCAAGAAACAAGTCTTCGACGTGTCTCTCTTGCCGCCACGACAATTCGCCATGTGCCAGGTTCGGAGACGGAGAACTCGACTGTTAACGGAGGGTCTGAGACGAGCAATTCTGCCACCTTTTACGCTCGCGTCTCGCCTTCGAGGTATAGAGATAGTTCAGCTCGGACGCTGGACACTGCTGAGCTTGAGGAGCTTGGCTGCTATCCTGATCGGGGCTATTGCGAGGCTGCGTCGCTCCAAGCTGAACTCCAGGGCTGTCGGGAGTCCGTGTCGCAGACTACGGCACAGTCTGGTGAGCGTTCCGCAGGGTTCTCGGGCTCGTTCGGAGACAGATTGAAGGAGAGGTTGGATGTGGTCAGGCGGAAGAGTTCCAAAGCCCTTCACCACCTCCGAGCAACCAGGGGCGTTCCACAAACTGAGTACGATCGAGACTACGACAACAGCCACGCTTCAGGGTCAGTGCCTTCATACCATGACTCTTCAAACGCACCTTGGACACTACCTAGTCATCGCGGTGGACATGGACCTCATGACTTTCAATTAGGGTCGCCATTGCACCTGGCACCGGGACACGGCCGTCCGATGGGTTATGTACAGCAGTATCTACACGACCAAGCAAACACGGTGTATCAGAGTCCAGACGACGGTTTCCTGCCAGAGGAGCGTCAGTTACCTCCTCCGCTTCCGCCGCGCCGGAGGATGCATGCGTACGGCTCTGAGCATTATGATCGTCTCCTGCATCAGGGGAGATACACGTACGTGCCTGGATATGATGATTTTTCCACGCTGCAGGGAAGACACACGTACATGCCTGGATATGAAGATTTTTCCACGCTGCAGGGAAGACACACGTACATGCCTGAGCAGTATAATGCTCCCTTGCATCAGGGAAGACACACATACATGCCTGGATATGATAATTCTTCCACGCGCCAGTCAAGACACGCACATGTCGCTGAGCATCACGCTCTTCCCTCGCATCAGGGAAGCCACACATACATGCCTGAGTATGATAGTCCTTCCACGCGCCAGTCAAGACACGCACATGGTCTTCCCTCGCATCAGGGAAGAAATGCATACATCCCTGAGCACCACGCTCTGCCCACGCATCAGGGAAGATACACACGCGCGCCTGAGCATTACAATCTTCCCACACGCCAGCCAAGAAACACATACGTGCCTGAGCAGTATAACGTTGCCTCGCATCAGGGAAGACACACATACCTGCCTGGATATAGTAATTATTCTACGCGCCAGTCAAGACACGCATACGTCCCTGAGAATCATACTCCTACCACGCATGAGGGAGGACACACATACGTCCCTGAACATCACGCTCTTCCCTCGCATCATCCTCTTCCCCCATATCAGGAAAGACACAGCTACATGCCCGAGCACTACGCTCCCACACCGCACCAGTCAAGAAACACATACCTCCCAGACCATCATACTCTTCCCACGCACGAGCCAGGAAACACATCCATCCCAGCGCACCACGCCCCTCCCCCACACCCTCCAAAAACCCCATACCCCCCCAAACACCACGCTCTCTCCCCCAACCACCAAATCCCCCAACCCACCCAACAGCCCAAACCCCCTCAAACCCCAGCCTACACCGCCCACTCCAAACCCTCCTTCAGCACCGCACCATCATCATCATCATCATCATCCTCATCCTCGACATCCACAGGCGGTAACACGGTGCCCGCAGCGCACCACCCGCTTCCGCGCCCCGGGGTTCTGACGTCGTTGCATGGGCCGTTGCCGTGTTTGAGCGAGGATGGAAAGGCGGAGATTGCGCTTGCGGCGTGGGCGAGGAGGGAGGGCGGGTGGTTTCAACCTGTTGGACGGGGGGGGAGGGGGGGGTTGCCTGCTTGGGTTTGGGATTAAGGGGGAGGGATTGAGAGAGTGAGGGGGTGAGAGGGAGAGGGAGAGGATGAGGGAGTAAGTGTGAGTGTGGGTGGATTATGGTGGTTGAGGTTGCTTTGGAGGAGGGATCGATGTGCTTGGTTGGTTCGTTGGGTTGGACGGTTTGGTTGGATGGTTTGGGATACGTGATTGCGGGTAATGGTTTCTTGGTTCGTTTGCTTGCTCGTTTGTTAAATTGATCGGGTTGTTGCATTGGGTTGCGTTGGATAGAGGAGGTAGGTAGGTCATTGAGAAGCGAGCTATGGTACTCGCGCGTGTATACGGAACAGGAACAGAAGAGGAGTAGAAGTTTCTATAATCAAGACAGGTCTATCTATTATTCGGTACCTTCCTTGGTCGATTACGTTTGGTCGATTCCCGTTTTGGACCTTTTTTTTGGGGGGTTGTTTTTGGTTCTTTTCTCTGGTGCGTGGTTGTGGCTGTGGTTGTGGCTGTGGTTGTGATTGTGATTGTGGTTGTGGTTGTGGTTGTGTTTGGGTAGGTAAGGTTAGGGTAGGATTGGTTGTTGCTAAGAGATAGGGGTTAAGGGAGGGGGGGGGGGGAAAGAGGCAAGGTAGAGATGAGAATGGAGAAAGAGAGAGAGAAGAAAGAGAGAGGGAAGAAAGAGAGAGGGAAGAAAGAGAGAGAGAAGAAAGAGAGAGAGAAGAAAGAGAGAGAGAACGGTTGGTATTGTGAGTGTTGGGCGTATCAAGGTGCTGAGGGCATCGAGGGCATTAGAATGCATGGGCATCGGAGGCATGAGAAACATAAGGACGGAGAGACATAAAGACGGAGAGACATAATGGCATAAAGACGTAATGGCATGAGGGCATGAGGGCATGAGGGCATGAGGGCATGAGGGCATGAGGGTATGGGGGCATGAGGGTATGGGGGCATAGGGGCATGAGGGAATGAGGGTATCAGGGCATTGAGAGAGTAAGTCTTGTATATATCTTGCACCGGTGTGGCAAAGTTTTGAATGGTGTTTATTGGGTGTATTGACTGACTTGGCTGACTGAACTGAATTACTGATTGGCTGGCTGACTGAATGACTGGCTGGCTGGGCTGAGTTGGGTGTAATGAGTGAACTGAACTGACTGAACTGAACTGAACTGAACTGAACTGAACTGAACTGA